TTGCTTCTGCTGAGGATGAGCTTGAGGAATTATGTGAATCACAGACAGCTCTACAAGCTGAGGTGGATCAGCCAGAAGATAAAATCACATGATATCTTGCAAAAGGTCAGTGCACTGTATTCATTCTGCATTTGATTAACATACTAAATAATACTATATAGGACTCACAAAAGGTAACCCTCGGCTCTTTTGGAAGGACCATGAGCATGAGTACCCAGTTCTTGCAAAGCTTGCGCGAGATATTCTATCTGTGCCAGCGAGTGGAGCAGGTGTTGAACAGCTCTTCAATTGTGCTCGTGATATATGCCACTATCGCCAGGGGCAATTAAAACCAGACACAATCAAGGACCTTATGCTCCACCTCTTCTCATCAAAGTTTGACCTTGAAAAAGGTGAACTAGAGATGGATCAATGAGTATCTCTCTGCCGGAGAGGCTGCTGTAGCTGATCAAATGAGAAAGCCTGTGCCAACACTTGATGAGCTTGAGCCAATAAGTGACAATGAAGAGGAGGGCTATGAAGTAGACAGTTTATGTGATCATTCTGATGAATCAGATAAAGAGCAAGTGTTGACTCTCACACAGATCACAACACAGAGCAAGCACATGCAATGTAAGCGGCCCTGTGATGCTGCTGAGCCTCAAGAGGATAGTGATGATGGGCTGCCGCTTCCTGAAATGCCAACTAAGGAGGGCACACAACAGCATTCAGGGAGGATTTGGAAAAAGCCAAAGTTGCCGGATGGATTTGAGATTGATAGACTGTAATTATAATAACTGTTCTTTCCCACAAATGCCTTTTCAGCAGAAAAGATCAATGACACTGTATTTCACTGGAAAAGTAGTTGAATTAGGAATTGTTTCTATATCTACTTCCCTGGAAGCCAGCTTATTGTAACTTATTGCAAGCTGGATACTCCGAAAATATTTAGAATACTTTAGCAACTGGATAGTCTATACATCGCTGGCCAGGTCATGAGTCTTGGCAGGTTTATTATGTTTACATACCCATGGGTACCCGCAAAATATCCACGGGTAGCAGGATGATAACCATGGCCGCCCGCAAAGGCCTTGCGGGTACCCATGGGGACCAGCGGTTATGCCACAGCCTACCTACAATGCTGTCCAAGAACTCTGGCATGTTGCTGGCTTTCCGTATCTTCGGTGGCTTTTTTGCCTCACCGCCCTTTGCAACGGGTGGGACTTCAATTGGCCGATGATATAGGCCAGCGAATGCGCACGTTTAGATAGACAAGCACTCGACTAGCTATATATGCGCGCGTACATTTGATAGGTAATACATCTCTTCGCCTTAAGCTAGTCCTCTCCATATAGACTTTGCCTAATTGCGGATTATCGATACCTCCGGTTCCCCGAATCCACCTCAAGCACTAAGTTGATGCAGGTAATTGAGATGATGCCTTTAAAGTCAATAGTGAGTGTTGGGGTGATCAGTGGGTGAGCATGGCCATGCGAAGCTAAACAATACCTTTTAGGCTGACCGTGGGATGGGAATTCGGGATACCCGGGGGGGTCTTATGGGATTCCCATTTCATGGGAAGGAAATGGGATGGGATAAGAATGGGATTTTCCCATTCCCTAAAAACCATTCATCTCAATTCTTATCCCGTCCCATCTTAGGGATGGGATAATCCCATCCCATTCCCATCGGGATTATCCCATCCGAACGGACGGCCTAGTTACATCAGTCCTCATTAAAATGCAAACTGGGAAGATTGCGCTGGCCAGTTATCTTAGTACCTTTAAGGCTATGGAATCGACTGAATGCTCTTGCGGACGTGGCCTCCAAGATACACGCCATGTTCTCCTCCACTGTACAAATCAGGCAGGATCCCGGATGCGCCATCTTACACAGGGGTCAAGGCGGGAGCTGGATTACCGAGCCTACCTAACACGGCCAGACTTAGTACCGACAGACGTGCGATTCATACTTGAGACAGGCATTCTAGGCCAGTTCCAGACTCTACCAACCACATACCGAGTCACAGCAACGGACTTGAAGCAACCGGCAGCATCCGCAGCCAAGGTTATGCGCTTACAGAAGTAGAAACGGAAACGAGATAGTATCCAACAGGCCCATGGACCTTCGTGGCCACGGGAACAGCGGTACGAAACCAGCAGCACGGGATATGCAAAATGCGAAATAAGATATCAGGATATGTGTAGAAAGGCGACGATGTACATAACAACTACCACTACGGCGGCTTACCCGGCCGCCCCGCAGGACCTGCCGCCACTCGGCCTATAGGGCTGACAGATGCGTGTATGAACAACAACAACAACAACAACAACAACAACAATAATATAAGTTACGCAAAGATAAAGAAGGTATGCCGACCAAATCCGCGCACATCCTAATTCAGAGCCAATACTGACATACCAAACAAAACAGTAGATATTCTCCAACGCCCTCTTAGCCCTCTTGGTCCTGTTCACAGATCGCATCATCGCAGCTGTGCCATCAGTCCCAATGATGTAAAAACCCGGCAGCTCTGGTCTGAATGGTCTCGGTTGTAAATGTCCAACCAAGGAAATGGGCGACTCAATGAATGGAAAAGCTTAGCATCATTCCCAGGGATCCCTCTGTGACAGTCTCGAACAATATAAATTTATTGGTAGACTCTCTGTCGAAATACTAACATGGAGAAGGAAAGAAGGAAGCTGGGCCTGCCAGCGCTGCGCTATCTAGTGTGCGAAGGGGGTTCCTGCCCTATATTCAAACAGGCCAAAGTTTACAAACATCTTGCGTTGTTGGTGAATGCCCGTACTCCGTGACACCCTCATGGTTTTTTTTTTTTTTTTTTTTTTTTTTTTTTTTTGTGTGTGGATTCTGTCCTGCCTTTTTCTCCCTTTAGTGATTAGATATAATGATTATTTCATA